AGCCATAGAAGCCCGGGGCGCACGTATCGCAGCGGCGTCCTGCCACGTTGGGTCTGCACCTGCACGGGGTCCCGGCTGGGTGGGTGATCGTGCACCCCCAGCCCATCAGGCAGCCCGCGGGGTGCGCCAGACTGGGGAGGGGGACCAGTGCCCCCAGGGAAAGCCCTCGCACCTGCACTGGCCGCTGTCTACGTCGCAGCTGGGGTCTGTAAGCTCCTGGACCCCAGGGCCCGAGCAGTTACACTCTTCGCAGCCCACCAGGGGGTGGCAGCCGAAGGTCTGGGGCTGGCAGACCACGCAGTCTGGCAGCAGGGTGCGCGGAGGGCAGATGCAGTGCCCCGTGACCTCATCACAAAGGCGGGCACCACAATCGCATGCTGGGGAGTTGTGATCCAAGGTCATACCTGTGCCCCCTGCTGGGTCCCGCCCTGGAGTCTAGCAGCAGCCCCTCCTCCCGCCCCCAGGCCGGTCACTCACGCCTGCAGTGAGGAAAGCCCCAGTAGCCAGTGGCACAGCGGGAGCAGTCTCTGCCGATGACGTGGGCACGGCAGGGGCACTGCCCTCCGAAGGGCTCACACGTGTGCCCAGTAGCACCCACTTCGTGGCAGCGACAGGGCTGCGCCCCGTTGTTGTAGAAGAGGGACAGGGAGATGGCGGCGTCCCGGCAGAAGGGGGATGGGCTGGAGGGGCTGCAGTGGGGGCAGCAGTGAGAGGAGACCTGGCTTGGGGTGGGGGTGCAGGCACCCTCGCTGGCCACTACCCCTCTGCCCTCCCCAGGCCCACGCACCTGACATGGTAGCCCTGGGCTGCGCAGTGGCTGATGAAGTCATAGGACTTGTCCAGAGGCTCCTCCTGCAGGTACTTGGCCGTGTAGATGTCCTCGGGAACCACGAGCACATAGTCCTGGGGGACAGGCCTGTCACCTCCGCGGCCCAGCACCAGCAGAGCAGTGTCCACAGTGCCCACGCCACCCCTCCCCCCTCAGGCTTCTCAGGAAGGGAGCCACCTGGAGGCCACGGAGTGGGTCTGGCCTGGTGAGGGGTAGGGGAGCACTGGGGTGGTGGAAGGCGCTCCTGAGGGTGTTGGCTGGCGACTCCTTCTCCCTCCCTCTCCCTTCCTTCGGAGTCCACCCCTTCCAGGAAGAGGTCAGGGGTCCCGGGAGGTCTCAGGACCCCACAGTGGGCCTGGGGTCCTCATAGACTGCAGGCTTTCGGCAGGCAGGGACGTGAGGGAGAGGGTGCCCATCAGGCTGAGGACTGGGCTCTCACTCACCAGCCAGAGCCAGCGGTCCTCGGGCACGCGCACGGTCACTGTCAGCTCAGTGTCAGTGACGTCCAGCACTGTCTGGCCCTCGCACACCACCAGGGAGCGGCAGCCGTAACCATGGGGGCAGAAGCTGGCAGTGGCCTGGCCTGGGGCAGGGAGACATGTCAGGCCCCTAAGTATCCCACCTCCCAACTCCAGGCCTTGAGCCAGGCTCTGTGGAAGACGGGGGTGGGGGGGTGGGGCTGCAACAGAGGCCCATGCGTATGTGGGGGGTCAGGGGCATGGTGGCCCAAACACTATGACCAGGGCAGCAATCAGGAGTGTGTGGTGTGTGGTGGCCAGTGGAGTGTGTGGTGTGTGGTGGCCAGTGGCAGGGCCGGGCAGAGGGCACGTTTGAGGGTGTCCGCACAGGGACGTGCTGTGCAGGCAGTGCAGTGGGGACTCAGGCAGGAGGGCCAGGGCCAGTGCACACAGTCCGACAAAGACATGGGTGGGGGCGTGGGGGGCAGGGACCGCAGCCCCAGCAAACACTCACCGTGCCAGATGCGGCCCCCGTTCACCAGCACCTCCACGGGGAAGGTGGGGTGGGCCGGCTGGTAGCCATGCAGCAGGAAGACATAGCGGCCCAGGGCGGGTACTTGCGTGGCGAAGATCACGGTGCCCTGGGGGAAGAATCCAATGAACGGAGCCTGGGGCGGGGTGGGGTAGGGGCTGGGGCCAGGGCTGCCTGCCGAGTCCTCACCTGGGGGTGTTGCAGCAGAGTGGGCTCGGCGTCGGGGTCCACAGCGGTGGGGGGCCGAGGCTGAGGCACGGTGGGGGGAGCACCCGGTGTCAGGTCCTGCGAGTGGGTCAGTGGGAGGCCGGGCGGCAGGGGCAGCACCTGGCAGTCTCGAAGGACGATAGGCCGGGGTGGCTTCGGGAAACGAGAGGGTAGGCAGGCAGCACTGCGGACAGGCAGAGCCAGGTCAGCCTGGCACCGCGTCCTCCGGCCCCTCGTGGCCCTCCCCACCCTGCTCAGTACCTGCCAGGTCCAAAGGCGCCATGGCGGCTGATGCAGCGCACCTGGGGCTGCAGGAGCTCCACGCTGGACTCCTCCGCAGGCACCAGGGTGACGCGGTGCTGGGCACAGTGAGGGCACCACTGAGCTCCCACGCCCCCCAGCTCACGCCCCTCCTGCAGCTCAGACCCATGGCAGAAGAGTGGTGTTTCTCATGGGCAGTTGGATCCCAGCAAACTGCTGCCCTGTCTGAACGCACCCCGTCCCATTCCCAGCCCCCAGCCCTCCAGGAAGCTCAGTGGACAGACTGGTGGGGGCATCTGCATGATGTCCCCCACCATGACGGAATGGCTGCAGGACACACACACAGGCAGGGCGGTCCAGGGCCGAGCAGAGCCCTGCAAGGAGGAGAAAGGGCCCAGACCCCAGTGTCTCCAAGCCCCGCGGTCAAGGGTGGGCACACAACAGCTGTGGCTTGCTGCCGCATGTGTGGAACATTCTAGAAGGGCAATGCTGAGCAGAGCTTCCATGGCAGGGCACAGGGCCCCAGGGGTGGGACCTAGGGAGGAGCAGTTGGGGGCTAGGGATCAGCCTCTTGACTTTGGGGACAGGTGGGGAACCCCGACAGGGAGGCTGGGCCGGCAGATGAGAGTCGAGTCTCACCAGGAAGAAATGTGCCTGCTCAGTCATCAACCGGATGCTGGCCTCTGTGTCCAGGTGGAAGATGGCCAGGTGGTGCTGGGTGTCCACAGGGGTGCCCCGGCACAGGATGCTGTGGGGGGTGGGGGGATGTTCAGACAGAGCATCCACCCCTCCCCACGGACCCCAGGGTGCCCCCACGAACCTGTATGAGCAGGGGTAGAGAGTGAGTGTGCCCTGCTGGGGGGGCTGCTGGGGGCTGTGCACAGCCACCCCCACCTCCTGGCGGGCATCTTCGTTGGCATACTCGACCACCAGCATGTAGTGACCTGGCCTAGGCACTGCCACCTGAAGCTGGACGTCCACCTGCGGGCAGAACCATCCATCCGTGTGGGCCCAGAGCCCTCTGTACCCTGCACCCCTCCTCTGCCCCTCCGCTGCAGGGCCCTCGCTGTCCCCACGGCCCCCACTCCTTTCCATCACTCATCCTCATCCCTAGAGGCCCGAGGTGACCAGCAGGGTCAGGTGTAGTCTGGGGCTGTGCCCACGTCTGGGGGTAAAGGAGCACCCACACAGCCTCCGCGTGAACCCCTGGGGGACAGAGGCTCAGGGCAGCCAGGACCCTCCCCAGGGGCCCAGACACGCACGTCACTGCCCTGGCAGGCCACCAGCAGTGGGTGGGAGGGGCTGAGCTGCTGGGAGGGGCAGGGCCGAGGCAGGCTGTTGTCCTGGAGACACAGGGCCTCCGACCCGGTGGCTGAGGGGTAGCCGTCCAGCGGGAGGTGGGCGTAGAGGAGGCAGCTGGGGGCAAAGGGGGGATCAGCATGAGTGGGCATCGGGTGCCCAGGTGAGCCCACCCCCCGGCCTGGGGACCCTCACTTCTCCGAGGCGTGCTGGCTGGCGGGGCGGTAGCTGCAGGCCTCGGTCACAGGCAGCTGTAGGAGGGCGGCCTCGTCGTAGGCACTGGGCAGCAGAACCACGTGGTCCTGGAGACGGGACCGACAGGGAGGGCACATGCTGGTGGCCTCAGAGTGGATGTGGCCCCTGCCAGCCCACGCCTCCCTGGGGTCTGACCCGTCTCACCAGCAGCACCCCTTCGGCCTCCACCAGCAGAGCCCAGGTGCCGGGGTTCATCACAAAGGGCTCCCCGAAGCCCCTCTGGGGCACTGTGACGAAAGCCGGCTCCGTGCTAGCCGGGAAGGTCACGCTCTGACTCTGCTCTGTGCCTGGGGTGGGGGTCAGGGTGGGGGGAATGACTCATGAGACCCAGGCCACCTCCAGGCTGGGTTCACCCACCTGTTTAGGCCCCACAAGGCGGAGGTATGGGGTGGGGGTGAGACAGCGCAGGAGGGGCTAGAGGCCAGGGTCTGGGGTCAGGGCAGTTGAGTGGGAAAAGGGCGGGTGGGGCAGGGCAGGGCAGTGATGGAATGGGGATGGGTGGGTGCTGATTGGGGTTGAGGGCAGGGTGAAGGGACAGGATGGGGTAGGGGGGCTCACGCACAGTTGTTGCAGGTTTCAAACTCGGCCTGCTCTAACACAGAGACGCGGCCGCCCACACTGGCGGGGCCCCTGTTGACATATCGGAAGACCAGCCGGAAGAGGTCTGGGGAGGTCACGTTCAGCTTGACCACGATCCGGGGCTGGAGGGGGCAGGGGTGGAAAGCTGGGTTACCTCTCCCCACACCCAGCCTTGCCACCCTATGCAGCAGGGCGGAATGGGCGCCTACCTGGATGGGGGTCATCTGCGCGTAGCCCCTCCAGCTGAAGTTCTCAAACTCCAGGGGGTTGAAGCCAAAGCGCACGGCGTGGCCCTCGGGTGTGGTGGCCTCCTCCAGCTCCAGGCGCAGGTGATGCAGGTGTGGCAGGTAGTGGTCCTGTGCCGGCCTGCGAGGGGGGCAAGTCCCAGGGTGCAGCAAGCACCCAGGGGGGGCTTGGTGTCAGGGATGGGAGGGGCCTGCAGGCCAGCGGTCCTCTGTGGTTCCCCTCCCCCCTCCCCCACCTGTAGTGGGGGCACTCACTCCCTGCAGGTGGAACCCTGCGTGTTGGGGCGGCAGAGGCAGGCGCCGGTCCTAGGCTCACAGCCCTGGCCCAGGGCGCCCCCCACATCACAGTGGCAGCCTGCAGCAGGAAGCGGTCAGTCAGCCTTGCAGCCCTGCCTGAGGAGGCCCTTCCCATCTGCTCCATTCAACCCCCACCCCCACCCCCCGCCATCCCCCAGGGCAGGGAGTCCAGGACGGGGTGAGAGCACTGGGATGGATTGGTGATGCCTGCCAACGTGCAGGTGGATTGGTCATGTCTGCAGAGGCATAGGAGGAAGGGGCGAGTTATTTGGTCATAAGCTCCCACAGAACCAGTGCTGAGCCCCCCGCCTCATGGCCAGCCTGGCACCCCCCTGCGGCTCCCAGTGCCTGAGCCCAGGTTGAGTTGGTGCCCAGTGAGGGCAGGTGCAGGGAGGGCTGGGACTCACTGCGGCAGCCGAAGTAGTTGCCCTGGTCCAGCCCGAAGAAGCCGTCCCTGCAGGCAGCACAAGTCTGTCCACACACGTGGGGTCTGCAGAAGCACTGGCCGCTGCCCTGGAAGCCGAGAGGGGAGTGGGACTGGGCAGGGGCCTACCACTTCCCACCGCCTACCCCTCGCCCCCAGACTTACCTGCTGGCACTCTGTCACACCTCCCAGAGTGCCTCGGGGGTCGCAGCTGCAGCCTGGGGAGGAGCAGAGGGGGACTAGCCTCCATCCACAACTGGATCTCTGTGGGAAGCCCCCACCTGTCCCCAGGAGCCCCCTGGAACTCCCACTGCAGAGACTCACGGGTACAGCCCTCTGGGTGGCTGGGACTGAGCCCCCAGAACCCAGGTTTGCAGCGGTCACAGCTGGGCCCTTCCACATGAGCCCGGCACACACAGGGGGCCTGTGCCTGGGAGAAGATGAGACTGGGGGTCAGAGTGGGTCACTGCTCTTTACCGACACCCCCTAGGTCCCTGAGGAGCGAAGAGAACTGAGGGCACCTGTCCTGACCCACACCAAGTCCACCTAGAGCCCTGGGCAGCAGGTGGAAGGGACAGTTCCACTGGGCTGGGGCTTTCAGCCTGCCCGGTGCCCTACCTCCCACGGCAGGCAGACTGGGGCTCACCTCAGGCAGGGCAGGAACTGGGGCCAGGCCAGCGGGGTGACAGGAGCCAGCTGTGGAGAGAAGTGGCAGTGGCTGGTCCTGGCGGAGGACCCCCGAGGCCAGGGCTCCCCATGTGCCTCGTCTGTGAACACGCGGGAGGAGGCAGGCCTCCTGCTCTGGTGCCTGGCCCTGTGCCCTCCTCTTCCCAGACACGCACATGGCACACAGGCTGGACACAGATCAGCATGGGCACACATGCAGTCACGTGGGGACGCGCGCGCACTCCCACACGGCACACGAGGTGCCCGTGCACAGACAGTGCATGTGGTCTGTGGCCCGTCACTCAAGGGCACACACACAGTGCCCACCCTCACCTGGGGCCACCCACCCTCACCTGAGGCCACCCACCGTCACCTGGGGCCACCACCCTCACCTGCAGCACATGCGCACAGCTTACCTCCGCAGTGCGGGAAGTCATAGGCACCAGGCACACACATGTCACAGTGCAGTCCCGTCACACGGGGCCGGCAGCTGCACTGGCCACTCCTGGGGTCGCAGGCTGAGTGCAGGGAGCCGTCGGGTGAGCAGTGGCAAGCTGCAGGAGGGCGGGAGGTGGGCACTAGGCAGTGGGACCTGCCCCCTCCCCCCACCTCCCATGCACTCACGGATGCAGGCGGGGAAGCCATGGAAGCCGGGGCTGCAGGCCTGGCAGGTGGGGCCCGAGTAGCCGGGGCGGCAATGGCACATGCCTCCTGCCCCACAGAGTGGGTCCAGGGTGCCCCGGGGGTCACAGGCACAGGCTGCGGGGGAGGGACATGGGGGTCAGGTTCTGCCCCACAGAGCGGGTCCAGGTGCCCCGGGGCCACAGGCACAGGCTGCGGGGGGACACAGTCAGGACCTAGCCGGCCCTGTCCTCGCTCTGGACTGAGCTCACCCTGGCAGTCGGGGTAGCCGTGGTGCCCAGTCCGGCAGCGGTCACAGTGGGGGCCGTCGAACTCGGGGCGGCACGGGCAGTGGCCAGCCTCGTCACAGCCTCCAGGCAGGGTCCCTGTGGGGCTGCAGCCACACACTGTGCGGGGGAATGGCAGTGTCAGGGGCGGGCTTTGTGCCCAGGCCCCCTCAGCCCCAGCCATGCTCGCCTGCTGGGGAGGTGGGACTCACGCTGGCACAGAGGGAAGTGGAAGTAGCCGGGGGCACAGCGGTCGCAGGAGGCTCCCTTGAAGCCCAGACGGCAGCGGCACTGGCCGGAGTCGCGGTCACAGTCACCATCGGCCACCCCAGGGCTGGAGCACGGGCATGCTGGGGGGCAGGAGGGGGGGGCACTGGGGTCAGAGTGGCCCGGGTGCCAGTGTCCACGTGGGGAGGGGCTATACTCACGCTGGCAGCCCAGGCCGTAGAAGCCAGGGGCACAGAGCTCGCAGTGGGTGCCCTGGAAGCCGGGCTTGCACACACAGCGCCCCAGCTGGGGGTCCTGGCGGCAGGCATTTCCCTGTGTCCCCGCGACGTTGCAGTCACAGTCTGCACGGGTGGGGGTGGACAGGAAGGGGTCTTAGGTGTGCAGCCGACCCTGTCTGTCCCACCTGGAAGACTCCCTCCTCCACCCACTCATCCTCTTGTCCCCCCCCAAGCAGCACGAATGGAAGAGAAGGCAGGGTTTATGAGCAGGCTGGACCAGGGGCGGCAAGGGATGGACCCTCGAGCACACGTAGGCTTGGCAGCGGTCACGTGCACAGGGCATTCACCTCAGCAGCCAGCACAGCATGCCTGTGCCCTGGCAGACAGCGGCAAGGCTGTGAGAGCCTCAGACAGCCCCGCACCCTGAGGGGAGGAGTCACGGGCCCGGGAGCTCAGGGCCACAGCCTCAGGAGACACCACGGTCAGTCCACAAAGTGGCACCTGGGCTCTAACGCTCACGAGCAGCCCTCAGAGGGCAGGCACTGGCCTCTCCCCGTCCGGAGGGGAGCAGAGTGAGGACAAGCACAAGACGCACGGAGTCAGGGAGTCCAGCGGACAGACGGACCACACATGTCTTGTCTCCACGGCCCGGAGACCAGGGAGCTAGATGGCGCCCAGCTACCACCAACGGCTGTCTGCTGGGAAGGACGGTATTAGAAAGTCCTGCATAGAGTGGGTGTGACTGTGGGGCAAAACTCAAAGTCCTAAAGGAGACCAGGCTTCCTGGTGCTCCTACCTACCTACCAGGTACAAGCAGCACCTCCCCACCTGTAACAACCAGACACCCGGACCCCTATCGACAGTGACACATTTCCCTAGAGGACAAGCCTGCTCCTGGTTGGAGCCCACTGATTCACATCTTTGAGGCTGTGAAAGATAAGCAGCTATAAAACTCAAGATGCCGAAAACGACGACGGGTCAGGAGAAAGCCGCGGTGGCAGCGCTCGGTGCTGCGAGGGTGTGATTCTTAGGGGCCCCTCTCCCAACACAAGGAGACGCTGCCGGTCGCAGGCCAAGGGGAGCAGAGGCAAGAAAGGGGCCTTCAGTCCAAAGTGCACTAAACAATGCGAAATCTCGCCCCAGTCCTGGTTGGAACTAGTTCTTGCGCTTCACCGAAACATGCAGCGAGCCCCCGCAGGGCCGAGGATGGAACCAGAACAGGAAGATCGAATACCGGGCGGACAAGCCGTGTCAACGAACAGGACCGAGGCAATGTTTCAACAAGTGAGCAGACTGGCGGGTGCCCACTCCGGCCCCTGGGAACGTGCGTAAGAAAGATCAGACTTCCCCGGGAACCGCAGAAGCCCAGCAAGCTCGGCAAAGCCGGTGATCCAGGGCCCCATCGAAGGTGGGGCGCAGCAGTGTTTCTTGCCCCAGGATGGAAGGACAGGCAGCCCCTGCTGGGGCAGATGGGGCATGTGCTCCGCTGCCTGCCGAAGGGTGGGGGCCCGAGTCCACCAGAGGTGCCTTGGAAGAAAGGCCTGAGTTCTCCTCCCCAAAGACCAGCTACTGACAAACCTTACAGAACCTTAAGTACCAAACACCTCATGGGGATTTGTTCCTTGATTTGGGCATTTCCTAACACCGTGCTTAAAGTTCCTCTTCCACCTGCTCCTTGTGCACCACTTGGGGGTCTTACAAGCTTACAAGTGACCACCCAAAGCACAACCAGCAGTCCCTATTCGCCTGGAGGAGAGTCAGGGAATGGACCGTGTGTGTGGAATGAGTGGCTACTGGCCCCATGGGCCACAGGCTCCTTGGCCACGGGACGGGCACTGGGGGTGCTCCTGGCCACCACGGGTGGACATTCTGATCAAAGGGCCTATAGAAGGATCCTGATCAAAAGGGGAGAGAGCGTGGGACAGAATTTCAAAGGATCACGAATTCCAGATGTTCTGGAGCTGTGGATAAACTCCTGAAACTATTTCCCTGAGGCAATCTTTCCATCTTAAACACCAAATAAGTCCCCAAAGTCTTTTAAAAAAACAAACCACAAACCAATGAAACATCGCCTGAGCACTGCTCCTAGAAGAGTCCCGTACGTGGGATCAAAGGGTCACGGCAGCTCAGGGAGCCGAGGGGCAGACAGAGGAGCAGGGTACGCGGATGCCTGCTCAACTCAAAGGCTGTCTGTCGCAAGCAGAAACGCTGCCTCCTGTGTGCTGCCTGTGTGTGCCAACACATCGTGATGAGCCCAGACATCACAAAACAGCGAGCCTCGGTGGGGCGCTGGGGTCAGCATTTCCCCCTTCCTTTTTGTGGAAGGAAAGCTTCCTGTCCCTGAGGCCGGACACGTCACCTGGGAGCCGAGCCCCCGCTCATAAACACTTGGCTCCACACAGGGTGGAGCTGGCCCCGTGGGTTCCAAGCTCTGCGTCTGGAGGGGAAGCCTCTGGTGGCTTTAAGCGGCCGGCCTTGCGGTAAGCACCCCCATGTGGACCTGCCACGCCCCGAGCAGAGGGGACCAGGGCCCTGAAGGGATGAACCCTCGTGCCCAGACTCAGGAGCCCGGGTGGCACTGTGGTTATACTTGAGTGGCTAACCGCAAGGCCAGCAGTTTGAGACCACCGCTGCTCTGGGGGAGAGATGGGGCTAGAGACGGAGTCTCGGAGACCCCCAGGGGAGGCTCTGCCCTGTCCTGCAGCGTCACTGTGGTCACAACCACCAGATGGCAGTGGGTTTAAGGGTAACGACACTGCCACCCGGTGGCAGCAGTGAGTCCCCCTGCTGTGGGGACAATGGAAAAACAAGCCCAAGCCTGCAGGGCCACCAGTGCACGGCTGCCCACGGGTTTTCCCCACACTGCCCCATCTTCCTCCCGTGGGTGGTGGCTGGTGGGTTTGAACTGCCCACTTTTGGGTTAGGTGTGTGTGTGTGTGTGTGTGTGTGTGTGTGTGTGTCTCCCTAGATGACTAAAAAGGAGCCTTTTGAAAGAAAATGTTTCGGTGAGACCCAGATAAGCCAGAGCGGCAGTCCCGGACATTTTAGCCTGGCCTCCTCTGGAAGGTTAATTGTCATCTCTCTATTCCCAGGTGGGCCTGGCGAGAAACACCCACCTCTCTCCCCAGAGAGCACGTTGGCAGGAGAGCCCAGACTGCCCCCAAACGCTCATGTGCAGACACCTTCTAGGGGGGAGTGTCAGCGAGGAGCCAGAGCGGTGATGGTCCCTTGACTGGGTTTGTGTCAGCATATCACTGTCCCATTAATATTGTTTTAACTGGAAACCACGACACCCCCGGCTGGTTAATCCCTCCCTCTGCAGAATTGCTCAGCGTGAGTGGGAGGTGGGTTTGCAGGGCAGGAGTGGGCGCCACCCAGGGCCACTGGCCGGCGGGGAGAACAGGGCGCGGGGACTGGGGGGGCGCAGGGACAGTCGAGGGGAGTCGGCGCCCTCAGACGGGGGAGGTTTCCGAGCAAGACTGGGGGCCCCTCCCCACCGCCCCTGCCAAGCAGCACCCTCAGGGACAGAGCTGGCCGGGGGGACCCAGGGACTTACTGACGATTTGGCCAGCTGGCAGCGACTGCGCTCCGGTGTCGTTGGGGGAGAACGGGGACACGGCTGGGGAGACAGGAGCGTGTGGGCCAGGGGTCCCCGGCAGACCTCCGCCCACCCGCCCCCTCCGGGGCTGGGGTCCGCTCGCGCTCACGGTAGCAGCGCGGGAAGCCGACGAAGCCCTCCGCGCAGGCGTCACAGCGCTCCCCCGTGAAGTTGGGGCGGCAGAAGCAGCGCCCCGTCAGGTCCTCACACGTGCCGTCCGTGAAGTCCGACTCGCAGTCGCAGCCTGCGCAGGGCCAGGGCGGGCGAGCATGGGCCCCGGCCCCCCGCCCTGGGCCCAGGAACCAGAGCACCCCGAGGACGCACGGGCCGGGGCACCCCTCATCCGTTCCAGAGCCCGGGGGCGGGGGGCGCGTGCAGCCCACTCACGGCGGCAGGCGTGCGGCGAGTCCAGGGGCTGGTCCGGGGAGCGGAAGAAGCCGGGCAGGCAGTGCTCGCAGTTGATGCCCGCGGTGTGGTGCTGGGGGCGGGTCAGGGGCTCCTGAGTCCAGGCCCCAAAGTGCACTAAACAATGCGAAATCTCGCCCCAGGCCTGGTTGGAACTAGTTCTTGCGCTTCACCGAAAC